GTACCCGGGGGATCCCACTTTTGGGGGAGGGGGATGTTTGTTTTGGTACTTTGATAGTTTTGGGATGATTTGACATTATATTTTGGTACGTTGCTACTTTTGACACTTTTGATGACTTTGAACATTGGTTTGGATGATTTCACTTTTACTAGGGACGGGGGGGGTTCTTGAAATTATTTTTAATTTCTTTTTAAATTTATAATTAGTCGATTTAAAAATGTCTTCCGATAGTTCAAATGTAGTAAAAGTACAAAAATAGATATCCAAAATACAAATATATCAATAAAAACCTTAAAAATCAGCTGAAAATAAAACTACACAAGCTTCAATAATCCCCAACGTCAATAGTAAAAGTGAAATCATCCAAACCAATGTTCAAAGTCATCAAAAGTGTCAAAAGTAGCAACGTACCAAAATATAATGTCAAATCATCCCAAAACTATCAAAGTACCAAAACAAACATCCAAATTATCAAAATTTAATTTCAAACCATAAATTAACAATTATATCACAAGCTTCAATGATCCCCATTATTAATAGTAAAAATGAAATTATTGTTTGGAGTACGTTGACTTGAGAACAGCACAATCATAAATTTTGTGTTCAATCTAATGTTTTGTTAGACTGGTATTCAATCTTCAGCAGCTAATTTTTTTTCATGCCTTGGTAGTGGAATCTTCATAAATAAAACAATGATTTTTTGCGGGCAAATAATAAAATTGAGAAATTTGAAGAGAGTTAAATAACCTGTACATGAGGTCTAGACATCATTGCCTAGAGGGTTACAACTATCACTTAGTTATGGGATATCCAAGTTCTTTAATCATATCTAGTAGCTCAAAATATATACGACATTAAATCGGGATCAATTTTCGGCACAACTGAAACCATTCCCCCAACATAATCAAAATAAGTTTGGAGCCTCCTTCCATGAGTAATTCTAAGTGTTAAAAAATGATCTGACATTTCACCCCACATAAAAACATGAAAAATAGGTGAATTACATAAGCATTATAGCTAAAATATCCATAACTCCCGAAATTTTGAAAATTCCTACACCTAAAAATCCCCAAAATTGTACTTAATATATAGAAACCCTCTCTTCAAAGCCCTTTTGAAATAGATTTCTGAAAATAAATTTCAAAAATTTCCAAAATTCCCCAAATCCGGAAGAACATAACTTTACATACAAAATATAACTTGTATTGTGAATACTAACTCAAACCATAGGTTTTGTGTTGATAATCCTTAAAAAATAGGTTTGTAACCCAACCCTTGAAGATCTAAACCAAAATTTTGCGTGGATAAATTTGAACCCTCAATTGAGCGATAATTTGAAAATTTACCTTTGTCTGCACCAAGTTTTCCTCGAATTGCTTCCAAGCCCTTAGACAACTGAATCTCATCGTCATCAATCGCAGTGGAGAAGATGAAAGGGAAGAAGAGGGGAAAGTTTCTCACTTATGTATGTTCTGCTTTTGTTCCGTATGTGTAAGATTTTTTTTCCTAAGTCAGAAAACAATAATTTGTAATAAAAGTAAGGGTAAAGAGGTAACTACATTGCAGAAACTAACGCCGTTAGAGATGTTAGAGTTGACTGGTAAGGTGAGGGGCTATTTTTATTGCATTTCATAGTAAGTTGGGTAAATGCGACAATAATAATAGTACAAGAGCGCAAACTATATTAAACCCTAAAAAAAATACATGTATATCCATTTTTCAGTATCCGATAAAAAAACTAGTCAAGTAATTGAGGGCCAAATAGTCATAAACAAACGCTCCAATGATCACTTATTAATTATTTTTAGCGAGAAAATAAAGAAAGGCACCTAAAAATATGTTTCAAACAATAGACTGTTTCATATTGTATTCCTAAAAAATATTGATAAGTTTCAAACTGTTGGCGCCAGATTTCCGAGTATTGAATATCGAGGAAATCCGCCGAGTTTTGGAATTAAAAGATTGGCAAAGATTTGTTTTCCATGTTTATTTTGGAATTTATTAGAGTCCTATTTTATAATACTTCTATTTGGACTTAGATTTATTTCCATGTATTTTATTCTAGTTAGGTATCTTTTGTACTTATCTAGAATAGAAGTAGAGATCAACTAGGATTCTATTACCTAGTTAAATAGATTTCTTGGGGTTCAAGTTAGGTCTTAGGGCTTATTTTCGTGGCTATATAAGCCTCCAAGACATACAAGAACCGTGCGCATTATTTGGAAGAAAAACCACTTCATAGCGTCGAAGGTTTCTAAGGCGTTCTGCGGAGCAGGACTGTGCCATCGTTGCACTGTGACATCGTTGTGTGTGCCAATATATACATATCTGTTGTATAGATCTCAAGGGAGATCAGCCGCGTTTCTGAAGGGAGTTCAGGCCTGAAGGGAGTTCGAGGCACGCGGTGTGGAGCTGCTGTTGGAAGAGACACGAAGTTCAAGTTGTGTACAAGAACGGCATATTACATAAAGAGGGAGTCTTTAGTGTTTTTAATAAGTCCTATTAATGTACACTGTAAATCTGAACTAGTGAAATCGTGTTTGCAGGTCCACGTGGATGTAGGGCACATTTGTGTCTGAACCACATTAAATTCTTGTGTTTGTTTTCTCGCTTTCAGTAGTTTATAACTGTGTTAACACAAGAATTATAGTTGTAACTGCATACTGTTCCCACAACAACTGTTACAACTTCGGTTAACAGATTTTCATAGGCATTTATAATCAACACAAACAATGATCACTTATTTTTGTATATGAAATCCATATGAAGAACTTGTGTTTTTTATGGGACAAATAGCTATTAGAATAACTAAGGCCAATTTCCAATTTTCACATATTCTGATTCAAAAAGTTTCGATTTCTGAATTTCGTAACTTATGGATTCATAATGAATTTTCAGATTCAAAAAAATTGGAATTGGAATAACGATTGATTTTTACTTCATAAAATAATCGATACTTTCTGAAAAGGTTAATTCCCATTTGTTCCCGACTTTCACCCCTAAAAATAACATCAGACTGAATAATTAAAAGGCGTTTTATATGGAGGTCCCTGACAAATTAGGTGCATCATTAATGTAGGTTCTTTATCGCAAGTAAGCCGACAATACTCTTTTGCCGTAAAGAACCTTAATATTCATAACAAATTTACTCCCAACCATTTAAATCCACTCAGTTCACGATTCCTAATTCAATCCCAATTTCATCAATTTGACTAGTAAATCTGATTTTGACTTTTTTGTTTTCGAACTTATTTTTCCCGCTGTTTTACGTTGTGTGATTGACATATATATCAAAAACAATGTTCTTGATGAAAACGAAGAAACTCATGTATTAAGATAAAATCTCTAATATTAACAAACAAACAATAAAAAAGCACATATGAATCATTAATAAACAAACAATAAAAAAAAAAAAAATCAAACCCTAATATTAATAATTAGCTAATTGGAGATGGTGCAATCAATGCCTCCATTACTAACTAGCTAGAATTACTACTGCTGCTGGTTGAAGCTTCAGCAGCAGCAGCTGCATTCATCCTTTGATCAATTTCTTCTTGCTTCCTAAAGTTGATCACCAAACGAAGCTCGTCGCTTCCGTTTACTCGATACCCCCAAATTTCAACCCAATCGCCTTTGACTGCGTTGTTCGCGTTGACTATCCTTCCCCATTGTTTGTTAATAACAATCATCTGCAAGCTAGGCCACTTCCCCAAGTGCAGGTTAAACGATCTGCCTCCTTTATCGATCCCCATACATTTAACTCCTTTTCTCGTCTCGGTTACAGCTATCCTCTCTTCGTCTCTCAGAATACTCATCAAGATTTCAGGGGTGTTGATGCTCAATCTGTTGAGGTGGTCCCACACATCGGATGTTTCGAGTTTCTTGTGGTACAAGAATACCGGTTTACTTCCGTTGTGTGACTCGATCGTCTCAATCATACCTGGAATCTCCTCTAGTGGTAAAACAGTATCCGGTATCGATGATGACTCGCCGCGGATGAATAAAGTCTTATCCCGGCGCCTAATTGTTCTCTTCTTCCGTACAGGCGCTGGTTCGGAAACATTCTCTTGGTCGGTTATTATTAATTTCCCCTTCACCTTCTTCATTTCTTCCGATCGCCGGTTATTAGGGCTTACGTCATGGTGACGATTCATGGACGGAGGAAAAGATTGGAGTGGCTTTGGACTGTAGACTACAATTTCATTGGATATTACTTTCGCCTTCTTCTTTACTAAAGGGCTGACGTCATGAGTATAAGTAGTTGAAGAAACCCTTTTCTTGGACTGGGGTTTTCTTGAAACGACGTCGTCAGGGCTAGGGTTTCTTATTATTAATAAATCCGATGAGGATTTATTATCTGCCTTTGGATCAGAAGTTGCACCGACGTCGTCGTAGTTGATAATGGGTGGTGGTCCACCACGTGAAGAACAACCAACTTCTTCCGGCGCCGCCATTTTCTTGGCGGGAGATTTTGCGGGAACTTCGTCGGAAGATGGGCAGCTTGGGGCGGCGGCGGCGGCAGGAGCAAGAGATTCATGATCAGGGACATGCTTTTCTTGATTATTATCAAGTGACAAAACGGTATTTGGGCTACCGGCGGACGGAGTAGTAGAAGATTCCGATGGTGAATCGGAATGATTACCAACAACTTGATGATCTTCTTGGGGGGTGTTTGGATGAACAGGAATATCAACTCCAAACAACCTAATTGTCTTCTCAGGGTACTCTTTAATCTCCATTAATTAATGCGATTAATATGATCTGCTTAATTAATTAATGCTTATGAATTAGTGATTTGTTTTCTCTTAATAAGATTATAATGGGGGTATATATAAGCAAGTAGGGCAATGGTTTTTCTGTAATTATATATATAAGGAAGTATTTGGGTTTCCTTATTAGAATTGGACATCTCTATTTCATATACAAAATTTACTTCCTAATTCGAATATACTTCTTCTACTTGCACTCTAAACTATATATGTAATTAAGGAATATTTCCCAAGTCGAATCCACTTAATTGTCATTATAATTGTAAGAAATATTTGAAAATATTAAATCAATTTACTTCCCTTTTTTTATAATGATCGGTCAATGGGATGACGTTCAAAATATGGTTAGGGGTCAAAATTGAATAATTGGTTAAATTAGAATTAAATATATGAATTGAAGTATATTAAAATACGAGAGGTATTACTAAGTGAAACACTGTTGATCAACTTTTTTTTTTTTTTTTTTCCGAAATACGAAATACATCTTTGCCAAAGTTTCTACGGTACAATAATAAATAATCAACAAGGGAGTTACACCTAAGGTTCGCCAGAACGTCGCGATCTGTCGTTGCGGTCACTGTCGTTCCAGTTCCATTGCAACATCGCGATTGTATTGCGACTGTATTGCGCTCGAATCGGACAAAGTATAATTAAAACGCGAAAAATTGCCAGAACGTCGCGATCTGTCGTTGCGGTCACTGCCGTTCCAGTTCCATTGCAACATCGCGATTGTATTGCGACTGTATCGCGCTCGAATCGGACAAAGTATAATTAAAACGCGACAAATTAGAATTAATGTCAAATGAGTTTTTAATATTAATATTATAAAGAATAATAGGGTAAATTACAACCATCCCCTGAAGTATGGTCAAATTACAAAAAAAATTCCTCCTGTTTGGGTAATTACAACCACCCCCTCTCAACTATAAATCTTCTTACACGTCCACTCTTGCGATTTCAAATTTAATGGAATCTTCTAGATTATATGGGATACTCAATAATTTTGTACCTGTTTTATCCCATTCGATCTTCACATTTTGAAGCTAGGTCGATGATCTTAATATGTATTTTTTGGTTGTATATATCAGATTGTGGTGCATCATAAACTGCATGGTAGCACAAAATGAGTACAAACTAGAGAACATTCCGTAGAATCTAGATGATTATGTTGAATTTGACACCATAAGGGTGGAAATGTAAGAAAATTCATAGTTGAGGGGTTGATGTAATCATCCAAACAAGAAGTTTTTTTCTTCATAATTTGACCATACCTTAGGGGTGGTTGTAATTTATCCTAGAATAATATACAAGCTATGATTAAAACTCCAATTTTAATTTTAGAACAATTTTTAAACCTTGAGAAATAGAATTAAGGGTGAAAATGTAATTTATGAAGTTATATCTTTACTTTAAGAAAAATAAAAAAACAATAAGGACTAGATTGCAAATTTTGAAAACTTAAAAAACTTACTCATAATCATGACACGTCATTCCCTAGACCCAAATTAAACCACATTTAAAGTGTTGGAGCTAATTGTAAAATTTTAGAACTTTTAATTAAAAGTTAAAATCCTAGGTTGAGATCCTTAAATTGTCGTTGGAGACATGAATAAGTAAATTATGATGATTCATACCGTTCCAATCCCGTTCCAGGAACGGGCCGTTCCTGTATGCGTGACAACACGATTTATTATAGCCTTGTCTCGGTGTTCCAACAACATGCACAAACATACACGTACAAAACACGAAAGTATTCGCGCAAAAGTGAATTGCGCAAAAAAGCTAATGCAAACACGAATTACAATAAGAGGACATGATTACGCCATCAACTAACATGCACAAAAACACACGTACAAAATATCATGCACAAACATATATGTATAAAACAATGCACAAAAGTACACGCACAAAATTAAACTGTTCAAAATGCTAATGAAAACAAGAAACGTAATACAAGGACATGAATACTCATCAACAAACATGTACAAAAACACTCACACAAAACAACATGTACAAACATAGACGTACAAAACAATGCAGAAAAGTGCTTGCAAAAAAGTACTCGCCCAAAAGTGCTTGTAGAAAAGCGCTAATGAAAACACGAACTACAATACTAGGACATGCATATCAATGCCGTTTCTTTGTCTGTTTTGCAACGTTTTTCGTTGTGGAACGGATCGGTTATGGTTTTCGAAACTGAGGGCACCGTTCCCATTCTGTTCCGGCGCTGTTCGGGCGAACCATGATTACACCACAAAATATGAAGATATCATCTGAATCAAGAAGCTTCTCATTTGCACAATCTTTTATAGTCTTCAAACTCGAACAAAACAAATCAAGAAAAGCAAATTGCACTGCAGAAAGTGGAAAGAAACCGAGAAATAAAATTAACACTGTCCGGTAAATCTTTAATGTTCATGGGCGGCATTGAGAAGTCATCCTGCAAGTAAGCCACCAAGAAAACCAATACCATTTCCATCTCCAAATAATAATTCTTGATAATCTTCTTCTCCACCACCACCATCACCAACACCAACGATGTTTGCACCGTTAGATATAAATCGCATCAATCCCTGAGCCATTGCTGCACTTGATCTATTATCGACTTCAAAAGAAGGCACATTAACCGGGACCTGGCCCTCTGGAAAACTCATATTCATCATAAGAGGAGGTGGTCGCCCCCATATTGAGGCATCTTGTGGCTGAGACGTTGGCGGCAGGTGGACGGGCGGAACATCTCCCGCCACACATTTGAGATGTGCATCGAATCCACATGAGTTACACCTATAAAGCCAATGGTGTGAACCAGGGCCTAGGCATATACCACAACAAAATTTCTTGTTTGGGTATGGTGATTCAAAAACAAGGCGAAGGGTGTGCACGTGCGAGTCATGTGTCACAAAAAACGGCATCATTGCACAAGATATATGCAAATCAATGCCGCAAGGTTGGCAATTGTAGGAATATTCCTTGCCTTTTTCACCACAAGCATCACATATGAAGCCACCTTCGTTATAGGCGGACTTCGTTTGTAGCGTTAACACATGTTTCTTGTCAAAAGGGTGAGTTATTTTCTGTGGCAAAGAGCCGCCGCCACCACCACCGTCATGCACTACTGCCTTCAAATAGTCTTGGCCGCCACCACTACTGCCACCACCATCATTTACCCCTTGTACGAAGTCTGCACCGTTCTTTACCACGTGGAGAGAGTCTTGGCCTCCACCGCCACCACCGCCCATTACTGCCTTCAAATAGTCTTGGCCGCCACCACTACCGCCACCGCCACCACCGTCATTTATCCCTTCCACCAAGCCTTCACCACCACCGTTCTTTACCGCGTGGAGAGAATCTTGGCCGCCGCCTCCACCAGTACTAGCAAAACCATCAGCAGCATAATTGCCACGACCACTAATGCCAGGACTGATGTTAATGGCAGATATCCATTTTATCAGAAGATGCAATCCTGTGTTATCTCCATAAGAACCAAATAAGCGGCCACCTGAAAGTATTACTTGAGCCAAGGCATTACTGTTGCTAATAATCATCTGCTCAACGGCATGAATGGCCAATTCATGGTTCTGTGATTTGTTGACCTCAAAAGGAGGATCAGGCGGCGGCATGATATTCTGCCGTTGCTGCATAGGTGGAAGTTGAGGCGCCGATGGATCCAATGTATAGCACGTTGCCGCCTGTCGTGGAGCCGGCTCTTTCGTCTGAGACGGCGGGCGGTGGACGGACGGAGCATCTCCGGTAGCACACTTGAGATGGGCATCAAATCCACAAGATTTGCACCTATAAACCCATTGGCGTGAACCAGTGTTCATGCATATATTACAGGAAAACTTCTTTTCAGGATAAGACTCAAAAGTAAGATGGAGCTTGTGCACGTGTGAGTCGTGTGTGACGGATAACGGCATAACGGCGCAAAGAAGATGCAAATCGATGCGGCAAGGTTTACAATGGTACGAGAACCCGCCCTTCCCTCTTTCGCTGCATGCATCGCATACGAAGAAGTGCTCGTTTCTGTTAGAAGGCTTCGATATTAGGGTTAAACTGTGCTTTTCGTGACAAGGGTGAGTCATCTTCTTCGGCATATCGAAGCATCTCTGGTGAAGGAAATGGTCTTCGCACATTATGCAGCAGTAGATCATACCAGAGGGCTCGATCTTGCATGCTGAACATGGTGAAGTGAGGTTTAGGGTTTGCTTGTAGACGATGAGCTTCAATGGGTGTGGGTGGCTGAAATGGCTTTTTATAGTTTCTTGATTATATTGTTCCATCGTCTCTTTTTCTGATCTACAAATCAATAGTACTACATTTAAAGTCTAACTTTTTGTAGCAAATTTGATTTAATTTACAAATATTTATATTGTATTTTATTAACGTTGAATAATTAGTTTATATTTAGTTTGTATAGAAAGTTCTTATTCGACTTCTGAGTACCATCAAAAGGTACAGATACACTTGATTATTTTTATTTTTAATTTCATTGTTTTAAAGAGATCGAGAAACACTTATTTAGCCTTTAGCTGGTGAAATTGTCACCTTATATACATAATTAATTAATCTAGTTGTATATGTTATAAATTAATTTCTTCGAACTGAGTGTGATGATAAAGCTGATGTAACTGTTCACCAGCTACATATATAATTAACTTTTTGTGATGAAAAAATTAGAATTTTTAGAATTTGGAACAAAAAAATATAATTTCAAAATAAAAAAATTATGATCTAAATCAAATTTCCAGGATAAAATATTGTTTGTATTTTATTCAATTTGATCGAGGCATCGTGCACTCACGCACATATATATATATATATATATATATATATATATATATATATATATATATATATATATATATATATATATATATATATATATATATATATATATATATATACACATTACAAATGGGCCCATCAAAGAATACATATTTATAAAGGAGTCCTGACAAAAAACTCTTTTATAAAATACTTCACACAATTTCCAGAGGTTTGTAAAAGACTTAAAAAATAGCATATCACATTTTAATATGTTTCAATTTCATCATTGAATTTAATTTAACCTCAATTTGACCCCAATTTTTACAAATTATTCAATTGTGACCCAAAACGCAATTTTGAGTACAACTTTGCCCGTTGCCGCCGTTAATCGCCGATCTCCGGCGTTAACTTTTTTTTTTCTTCTTCCTGATTTTTCCGCCGGTTTCCGGCGACGTTGACTTTTTTTTTATTTTCCTTTAACATCTTTTTATATTTGTTTAAACAACATATTGTGTTTGACACTAATATTAACTATATTATTGTTAAACACAGTAAAATTAACTAGGGTTAAATACAAAAACACCCATGTACTATGAACTTTGTATCATATACCTCCATGTACTACATGCACATAAATACAAAAGACCCCCTCACATTACATTTTTTCTAAAATATGACGAAAATACCCCTACTCAAGCATATATATATATATATAATGGTTTGTTTGAGCCATTTTCCACTACATATTTTACCATTTTCAGTCTATTTTACGTGGGAAATTTTGGTATTTATATATTTTTTTCTCCAAAACATCTAGTTGCTTATATTTTGTTAATTTTCTGAATAAAACCTTTTGTTTTTGTCATTTTGAGTTTCTTAAAAAAAAAAAATTCTTAAATGTCTTCCAAGTTCAAACATCCTAAGATTACAAACATCTTTACAATCCTATGATTGTTGAGAATTTGAACAATCGGAAGACATTGACGAAAATAAAAGTTTCTATTCAGAAAAAAAAAAATCTAAGTAATTAAATGTTTTGGAGAAAAAAATAAAAATATCAAAATTAATTCACAAGTAAAATTGACCGAAAATGTTAAATAATATAGTGAAAAATGGCTCAAACAAATCTTTATTTTTATAGGCTTAGTAGGGGTATTTTCGTCAGATTGTGGAAAATATATAACAATAGAGGGGTTTTTTGTATGTATGTGTAGTACAAAGGGGTAAATGATACAAAGTCCATAGTACATGGGTGTTTTTGTATATAACCCTATTAACTAACTACACTACAGTTTAACACAGTAATATTGTTATACTAATCTGTAGCACAATAATATTAACACAAAAAAAGTCATTATTATTGTGTAAATAGACTAATATTAATATGTTGACCGTTCAACAAAGGTAAACATAATAAAACGCCAAAAAAATTAATATTGATGTAGTTGATAGTAATATTACTATCACTCACAGTAATATTATTGTCAACCATATTTTGTGTTTATAGTAATATTACAATAGTAGACAATTGTATTATTACGTTAATCCGTCAACAACTCAAACAATACAAAAAATCCCAAAAAAAATAATAGTGAGTGTTTACGGTTATTTTACCGTGAACGACAGTAATATAATTACATTGACTTGTCAACAAATCAAACAAAAAAAGTAATAATAATAATAATACTGAGTGCCTTAATGTACTGTTAGTGAAATATAATTACTGTTAACGACAGTACAATTACGGTCAACGTTTAGCAGCGAGGTAAAATAATGAAAAAAAAATTACTAAAAAAAGTCCCACGTATACTTGAATATTACGAATATTCCCTCTTGTTTTGTGAAGTCCAAATAAAACCCAAGATATAACATGATCAGAGTCTACATTGGCAGGGCATATATGATATAACCATATCAAGAATCTTGCAGATTCTAATAAAAAAATTCCAATTTTACCCTTAACAAACAAACAAACTAAAAAACCCGAGTTCAAAGCCTAATATTAATAATTAACTAATTAATGTCATATCCAAAATTTCCAAATTTTTGAAATTTTCGTAACTTATGGAATCATAATGAATTTTTAGATTCAAATTTTTTGGAACTGGAATAACAATGGATTTGTACTTCATAAAACAATCGAAAACTTTATAAAAACGTTAATTTCCATTTGTTTCATTCGACTTTCACCCCTAAAAATAGTCATCAGATTGAATAATTAAAATGTGTTTTATATTGAGGTCCCAGACAAATTAGGTTCATCATTAATTGCAAGTAAGCTCGCACTCCTTTTCGAAAAGAACCCTAATATTCATAACAAAATCGCCCCAACCATTTAAATCTACCCAATTCATGATTTAAACATTAATTCAACCCCAATTTCATCAATTTTAACCCCTAAATCCGATTTTGACTTTTTTGTTTTCGAACTTCTTTTCCCGCCGTTTTACGATGTGTGATTGACATATATATAAAACAATGTTCTTGATGAAAACGAAGAAACTCATGTATTAAGATAAAATCACTATCTTCTTCCTAATATTAACAAACAAACAATAAAAAATCACGTATGAATCATTAACAAACAAACAATAAAAAATAAAAAAAATAATAAAAATTCAAACCCTAATATTAATTACTAATTAGCTAATTGGAGATGGTGCAATCAATGCCTCCATTACTAACTAGCTAGAACTACTAGTGCTGGTTGAAGCTGCAGCAACAGCAGCTGCAATCATCCTTTGATCAATTTCTTCTTGTTTCCTAAAGTTGATCACCAAACGAAGCTCGTCGCTTCCGTTTACTCGATACCCCCAAATTTCAACCCAATCGCCTTTGACCGCGTTGTTCGCGTTGACTATCCTGCCCCATTGTTTGTTAATAACAATCATCTGCAAGCTAGGCCACTTCCCCAAGTGCAGGTTAAACGATCTGCCTCCTCTATCGATCCCGATACATTGAACTCCTATTCTCGTCTCGGTTACAGCTATCCTCTCTTCGTCTCTCAGAAGACTCATCAATATTTCAGGGGTGTTGATGTTCAATCTGTTGAGGTGGTCCGACACATCGGATGTTTCGAGTTTCTTGTGGTACAAGAAAACCGGTTTACTTCCGTTGTGTGACTCGATCGTCTCAATCATACCTGGAATCTCCTCTAGTGGAAGAACAGTATCCGGTATCGATGACGATGACGATGACGAGGACGACTCGCCGCGGATGAATAAAGTCTTATCCCGGCGCATAATTGTTCTCTTCTTCCGTACAGGCGCTGGTTCAGAAACATTCTCTTGGTCGGTTATTATTAATTTCCCCTTCATCTTCTTCTTTTCTTCCGATCGGCCGTTATTAGGGCTTACGTCATGGTGACGATTCATGGACGGAGGAAAAGATTGAAGTGGCTTTGGAGTGTAGAGTACAATTTCATTGGATATTACTTTCGCCTTCTTCTTTAATAAAGGGCTGACGTCATGAGTATAAGTTGCAGTTGAAGAAACCCTTTTCTTGGACTGGGGTTTTCTTGAAACGACGTCGTCAGGGCTAGGGTTTCTTATTATTAATAAATCCGATGAGGATTTATTATCTGCCTTTGGATCAGAAGTTGCACCGACGTCGTAGTTGATAATGGGTGGTCCACCACGTGAAGAACAACCAACTTCTTCTGGTGAGGAGAAGAAGATAACTGGACGAAAATCACCACACACCATCATCGGATAATAATCAAGAATGTCGAATTCACGAAACTCCTCCAGCGCCGCCGTTTTCTTGGCGGGAGATTTTGCGGGAACTTCGTCGGAAGAAGGGCGGCTTCCGGCAGCAGGAACAAGAGATACATGATCTGGGACATGCTTTTCTTGATTATTATCAAGTGACAAAACGGTACTAACTGGGCTGCTAACGGCGGGCGGAGGAGTAGAAGAAGATTCCGGTGGTGCGGCGGGATCTTCTTGGGGGGTGTTTGGATGAACAGGAATATCAACTCCAAACAACCTAATTGTCTTCTCAGAGTACTCTTTCATCTCCATTAATTAATGCGATTAATATGATCTGCTTAACTAATGCTTATGAATTAGTGATTTGTTTTCTCTTAATAAGATTATAATGGGGGTATATATAAGCAAGTAGGGCAATGGGTTTTTCGTAATTATATATAAGGAAGTATTTGGGTTTCCTTATTAGAATTGGACATCGTTTTCATATACAAATTTTACTTCCTAATTCGAATCTACTTCTTCTACTTGCACTCTAAACTATATATGTAATCAAGGAATATTTCCCAAGTCGAATCCACTTAGTTGTCATTATAATTGTACGAAATATTTGAAAATATTAATCAATTTACTTCCTTTATTTTTTTTTATTTTTTTTTTTATAATGATCTAGCATTCTATAGTCTATAATTTAGTAAATCAGTAGTAATTTCACAAATATGCATTGTCGTCAGTGATCTGTTCTCAATAATCCGATTTTAAGACACGCGTAATCATTATTTAAAAATAGGGGCAATTACGTATAGTATA